AAGGTCTTTTCCAACCAAAACTGTTCTATGACTCTGTGATTTCAACAATGGTGATTAAATGTCTCTGTCCACATTTAGATGTTTACCTTGTGTATGTTTACATCTGATCTCACTAAATGTATTTTCTTCTAGTGAAAAGAGAGAAACAGGCACTTTTAAGGCATGTTTAATTTCATATTAGCATAGGACTATAAGATACAGATGTGGATTATATGTGGACATCTATAAGCAGGTAAAGTGAAGCCCCACTTTGAATCCCAGATAATAAAGACGGTCTGTGCAAAGATACAAGGTGGTCTTACCAAGTAAGACTGAACAGCGAACTATGATATAACAAAGGTTGAACAACGTACCAAAAAATGTTTTAGAAAATAAATTTGAACTATGATAAAACAAAGGTTGAATAACGTACCAAAAAATGTTTTAGAAAATAAATTGCATTAAGAGAATAATCCTAAAGTCTAATTGTCCAACACAGTAAATGCCTGTTGCCAACATGCTGTATCTTACATCTTAATGGATTCAACATTTGTTAAGATTTCAAAGCACCATGCAGAAAACATGTAATATTTCACATGGTTTACTTGATTCACAGAATCACAGTATGGTACAGGTGGGAAGGGACCTCTCAAGGTCATCTGGTCCAACCCAATTGGCTCAAGCAGGGCCACCTAAAGCCGGTTGCCCGGGACCATGTCCAGATGGCTTTTGAGTATCTCCAAGGAGGGAGACTCCACAAAATCTCTGGAAACCTGTGCCAGTGCTTGGTCACCCTCACAGTAAAAACCAGTCTTTCCTGATGTTCAGAGGGAGCCTCCTGTGTTTCAGCTTGTGCCTGTTGCCTCTGGTCCTTTCAGTGGGCACCACTGAAAAAAGCCTGGTTCTTCCTCTTTGCACCTTCCTTATAGGTGTTTGGAGATGTTGATAAGATCTCCCATGGCCTTCACTTCTGCAGGCTGAACAGTCCCAGCTCTCTCAGCCTTTCCTCCTAGGAGAAATGCTCCGGTCCCTTCAGTATCTTCGTGGCCCTTCATTGGACTGTCTCCAGTCTGTCCATGTCTCTCTTGTACTGGGGAGCCCAGAACTAGTCCTCCATGTGTGGCCTCACAGGTGTGATTCAAATGCAAAGTCATGGTTTAAAACCTTAGTTCTACAGCTTGGAATTTTGTAGTTAATCTTAGTAATTTATACATCTGTATAGCAATTTTGATGACAGCAATGTTGTCCCTTGGCTAACCTAGACACTGTACCTCAAATTTATCTCAGTTTTTTCTGGTGTAATAATACATTTTCAAAATTAAAGCATCAAGTTTCAAAATGAAAACTAAGTTCTTAATTAAAGTCTTACGCATACAAACTGGAGAAGCAAATCAGCATTTTCATGTACAAGTCAGGGATCTACATCTCCGAGGAGATATTATATTCTTATTTGTAAATGCAGTTACTTGCTTTATACTTCAGAAGATAAATTACCTATTTATTTACATCATACATATTTACCTGTGCAGTTTAAGATACAGTTCATGATTAGACCAAGAGGTCTTTTAGTGATTTTAATAGGATTTTATTTCTTTAGTTGTTATTATAGTGATATTTAATAAAGCAGAATTCTTACCATTTGCAAAAAAAGAAAACAATTCATTGATCCTAGAAGCAGATTTGAAACTAGTCATCTGGCTGCTGCCATCAATAGTAACATGGGACACATTAGCTTTAAAAGGCTGACATTTAGCTACATGCGAATTATCCTACTGTGACACATGGTGCTGAATAGCACCTGAAAAGAAAAGGAAATGTGATCATGTTACATTAATATGCAGAAAAATTTAAAAAGAAGCAAAGAAGAAAGCCCTTGTTATACAGCGTCCTTCCAGTGCTTAAAGGGGGCCTACAGGAAAGGTGGGGAGGGACGCTTCATCAGGGAGTGTAGTGATAGGACGAGGGGTGAAGGTTTCAAACTGAAAGAGAGGAGATTTAGATTGGATATAAGGGAGAAGTTCTTCACTGTGAGGGTGGTGAGGCACTGGCACAGGTTGCCCAGAGAAGCTGTGGCTGCCCCCTCCCTGGCAGTGTTCAAGGCCAGGCTGGATGGGGCTTTGAGCAACCTGGTCTGGTGGAAGGTGTCCCTGCCCATGGCAGGGGGTTGGAACTAGGTGGTCTTCAAGTCCCTTCTGAACCAAACCATTCGATGGTTCTATGATTCCATGATGCTAGTAATCACATAATGTATTCTGTAAAATAAAATCCAAACTTGCTCTATTGATATGCATCAACACCTAATTGAATTGGTTTGCAAGACACGCTAGATCTATGCTAAGGAAAAGACTCCTTTGAGAAATGTAAGACAAAAATACAATAAGCAACAGTATCTGTAAGGGTATGATACTTAGCAGCCTATCCCTATTTGACTAGAAGCATGTGAATTAGTCCCATATTTGTTGCAGGCTAAATGTTAAATACATTTTTAAAGCATTTTACTTACTGAACACCAAAGGACTTAAAATAATTCTAATATCCAGCCACAGTATAGTATGTGTCAGCCAGAAGATATACCACTTGAAGCACGGAAACCAAATTAAAGGAAGATCCTCATGGACAACAATTTTATTTACTCATCTTGTTCTCACTTATTCTTTCTGGCCAAGCATTGCAACAGATCACATTTTCTACAGTGTCCTCACAGACCTCACTGAACTCTGCAATAGTGCCACAGCAGATATTTTACTCAAGAACAATGCAGTATTCAGCCTCTCACAGCAAGCACTTCAGGACAAAGACTATGGTGATCTGTGTACATTTGCAGGCAATAGAACAAATAATAACAAGTCATTAAGTGTTATCTAGAGTACTTAAATTAAAGAAGACTTTCAAAACACAATATATACTGAGAGAGGGCCACCACCCAAATTTTAAAGAGAGGTTACTCAGCTCTTCCTCTAAAAGAGCCAGAGCTATGTAACACTGGGGATGTAGCATTTAAAGTTGCAGTGAAGACAGCATTAGTACTGCACACAACGCTGACCCAGTAAATTTCCTGATTTATTGATTTGATGTGCAAATAAGGACATCAAGAGGCAAGTATCTCTGCTGGAGGCAAGGCATGGTAATGCAAGACTTCATTCATTCCCAATGTAAAATCAAGTAGGTTAACTTAAGTCACGCATATCTTAAGCTCATCTGTTTGATTTTGAACTGGGATGGACAAGTAGGTAACATTTCTCATTTCCCACCCCTGCTTTAGGCCATGAATATTCACCTACCTCTGCTCTTACACAACAAGGCTGCTCTGAATCACTCCGTACTTAAATACATAGGCAAAACCATGTATTACTGTAGATAAAACTAGAAATTTAGGTTTTTTAAGTTATGGGAATGACTTATTTTGCTAGAAAGTATCTTTGAGCTGCATGGCCAGTCCTCAGGGTGATGCCATACATGAAGTGGTCAGGAGTGGCTGCTTGTCCCTGAAGCATGGTCTGCGGCTTCAAGAGCTCTGCCTCTGCTGCAGCCCTCACTAGGAAGCAAACCAGCGTACAACATACAAACTGCAAGCACAAGGATGCCATCAGTGCCCAAGGCTCAGAATATAGCTAGGCTGCAGAGGAGAGACAAGACAAATCAAAAAGCATGAAACCTATTTTGAAATGTAAAAACCAGGAGATTAAAGTTTATTCTCCCCAAATTCCTTGTGCATCTTATGCATCAACCAATCTCTGCATCATATTGTTCCCAAGATTAATTTTTAATAAAATGCAGCATTGGTCCTCACATTTCTTAAAATTCTTTATAAATCAGACACACTTTGCAGCACAGCAGAATTGGTCTGGTAGAAGCTCTTTATTTTTAACTTACATTTAATTTTTTTGAGCGTTAATTGTATTACTGGGACTAAACTTAAATAATTTTAAGCATTTACAGTGTCAGCATTTTAAAAACATGGTAGATCTACATTTCTTTCACTCTCAGGTGGCAGTGACTGTTGGATAACAAGCTGTGACTCCCAGTTACCTTGTAAAACTTGCTCATATGAACTTAGTCACTTCCTCCTATATCATTATCTAGACCACCTGTCACACCTGCTCATTAGTCAGGAATATAATCGCAGGGAAAATACTTCCTTTCCATTTAATATTGTAGAGAGCTATTAAAAATGGGAATTGATGTTTGAGAGGCCTCTGGGCACCACTAGGATAGAAATGACAATGACAAATGGTGGAAACTTATTAAAACTGGCCGTATTGTGTGAATGGATGAAAGGCTGCATGTTTTAACCGAAAACAAACTTGTGATGTAACAGCAAAAGACTTTCGTCTGAACATCCCCCCACCCCAAATCCAGAAACATGACTCTTACCAGTAGCAGAGCCTTTTGGAGCTCCGGCAGTAGGCGTTTCTTGCCAGGAGGTACTTGTTTTTCCAGCTGCTGGGTTATGATGGAGATGTAATCCATTTTCTGCATTAACAGGTCTTCTTTCAGTGCAGGTTACTGAATGAGCTTGACAGGCGTTTGTCTGACCACTGTTTACAGAACAAGTATTTTTTGCCCAAGGTTCACATTTGGCCGGACTGCAGCCAGGTGTGGGAATTGCAGTGGCCAAGTCAGAACGACAAGCAATAGCCTCACTGTTCTCTGTACTGTTTCTATTAAAAACCCGACCTGCTAACACAACATGCCTTTCCCTTAGATCATTCCT